GGGTCCTTGCACTGGTGTGCTCGGACCCTAATAAGGAAGTGAAACAAATTCTGGTTCTTTAATGTTTGATCATTCTGCAGATACATAGTCGTCAGGTACAGAATCATGACGTACAGCAGGCTCATGGTGACATCTTACAGCTAACATGTTGTGTAGCAGTGAATCTGTCATTTTCTCTACATGACATCAGCCACCAAAGACGAGATGGAGACCTTAGGGCTTGTCCCAATTTGCGTTGGAAATGATGACCTGATTATTTTAATGCTGTTTACTGAGGTACTCATAACTTCTATGACAATCTGCAGTCGAAAATTGTTTTGTCATATTTTGTAGTTACTGCAAAATAACTGCAAGGCTTCAGCAGAAACACTTACTGTCACCACTGGCAGATTATTTCCTGGGTTGATCTTCCAACAGCTGAAAGATGGTCCATTTACAAACAATAAAGTCAAATCTGAAAATCTTCACTATTCAGTTTTCGGTAAATTCCCCTCTTTCTCTCTCCACATCGCTCCTTAAACGTCTGGCACATTTCCAAACAACCACAGCATCCGGATATATTTTCACACATTCAGCGTAACGCTGAACAATCAGCTGACATGTCAAAGTACAAATCCAGCTTTAATCATTCAACAAAACAAACACGACACAGGCAGTCAGTTTCTCACTTCAGATACATCTGATTTGTGGATTTACACAGTTAAAAGATAAAAACTAGTGCAACGACGCTGGTGGGCAGAACTGCTGAGTCATGTGTGAACCCACGTTACAGTGCATTTTGTTAGTTCACAGCTGCAGAGCGAACAGCTAAAAACCACAATAAAAAAATCAAGTTTTTCAAGGTCCTGTTAGTCTTACGCCACAGAGTATGTTCCCGTTTTACCACTAATACACGAATGGCATGTTTAGAACTGCATGCAGATGTTAGTTAATGAACGAAACAATGACTTGTACCTAAGCTCATCCCTGCCGAGGAGTGTGGCGAAATACACATCATATCCAATCACATGCTGGATTTCTTTAATCTGCTGATGTCATTGCATCCAATATAGAGTTCTGACTGACTGTCTTAATATTTAAAAAAATAATTAATGTACACGGAAGAGTTGATTAAAATCTGTATTTCAGCATTTTAAATCTTCGCTCATCTTAGTCTATGCATAGCAACCCACGCCTCCTATTGCTGCGTATCTGGAGGCAGAAATTTAAAGCATAAGATTCACGCGTTGGTCTGCGAGTTTGTTTCAGAGACACTCGGAGAAATCCAGGTCAGTTAAAATGCAGTGAACAGCAGAAACAGGCAACTGCAGTGGAGCACTAAAAATCCCAAACTATCACTATCCCTGACCTAAAAACGTCTGAAGAACAGTTGTAAGCCTAAAAACATATGATTGAGGCAATGCGTTTATCCTGAAATGGACAAAACAGATGATGAGTGATTAGAAACTTCATTTGAGAATAAAACAAAGAGGCAATAATCTAGAGCGGAGCCTTTCCGCTGTCCTGCCTTTGGCATCAGGCACCTCGTCAAAAAGGTGGGATGTGTGTGTAATAATAGGTCCTAGAGCACTGGCAGTTTGATTTCAGAAAGTTGCAGCTATTTCCTAAGTGAGGAGGGCAGCCAGCAGCGCGGGGTAGTTTGGCGTCCCCCAACCTGTCACAGGGTCCCACGACGGGGCAGCACAGAAACCCTTCCCTTGAACCTGCTCGTCCAGGCAGCTCAGGTGACAGCCCTCAGTCACCTGGAGAAGAATGCAAGACATTTATAGAGCAGATAACAACAACACAAGGGGTCTCTTCTTCTAACAAAATGGGTCATTCAATTACCATTCATGAACGTAACCAAAAACCTGGCAGTTATTTGATTTGGGGGCCTAAAGAAGGAATCATGGTTCTCAATTAGGATTTATTGGGCTGATATAAGGGAATACATCTAAGCAAAGCTAGAAAATGACTCAGAATGGGAGATTTCTACACAAAACAAATCTCAACTGAGCTTTAAGGAGTCACTGATAAAACAGAGCGCTGCTGACTTAATCCGAAGTGCTTCGTTGGAGGAAACTAAACTTCTGTTTTTTTGGTCTTTAAAACGTGTGATTTCTCATCCAAGATGCTTCCTCAGTTCTAACCCTGAGGAGGAACTGAGGAAAACATTGTCTACAACCAAAAACAGAAGTCTAGTTCCCTTTTACTCAAGCACTCAGGATTGCCGTGACCCAGATGACTGAGAACCTGCGGACATACTGCTGACTTACATCAAACAGGGCCTGTCCCTTCAGCTTGTAGAGGCGGGGGTTGAGGAAGCCCAGCGAAGACAGACCCTTGAGCAAACGCTGGCCATTGATGAGGGAGAGCATGCCTCCGACCACGGGGGTTGATGCCTGGAGGGGCGAAGAATGAGGTGTAATGAGCCGCATAAAAACAAACGTTCACCGCAACTGATAAGAAAGATTAATCTGCTGTTGCTCCTCGAACACGGCAAAGTGAGGAATGCGGCTGTCCCTGTGCAACCTGTTAATGCTCAACATGACTCGTTTGTGGAGCTCTTGCACCAACAATGACTTGCACTTGACAATATTCCAGCTGCTATTATTTCTAGCTTCTTGAACCAAGCGACATAAACAGCACGGCTTCTCAGATTTTTCAACATTTTGCATCAGTCCATTAGCATTAGCACCAGTCTGAATGTGCTACAACCAGTCCTTGTTGGTTTTGAAATAACTCCATGGTGGTCGACATTCTTTCTGCTTCACTGTCAGTTCTCAGAAATTGGAAGTATCCATCCATCCATCCATTATCTATACACCACCTAGTCCTCACTAGGGTCGCAGGGGGGCTGTAGAGTCCATCCCAGCTGACTCAGGGTGAAGGCAAATTGGAATCATGTGTGGTATAACTTACCGAGGTCCCAGACACCCAGGGGATAGGCACTCTGTTGGTAACCACCCAGTAGTTATCAGACAGAGCAGCCATGTCCGGGTAGGCCCTGCCGCTGGTATTGAAGTACGACTTGGGAGGGAGGGTTGCTTCCACAGTCTTCAGATACCCCTTAACTGCACTGGCCTGTGAGAACACAAACACACAGCACTGTCTGCATCAGTTTGGAAGAAAAAAAATACATGTATGTATGTGACTGAATGCCCCAATAAGCAGCTGACAGGTCGATGATCTGATATCGTTACCTGGTAGTCAGGCATGTCGAAGACGTTGCTGAAGCCTCCTCCGCTGATGTAATCTGTGACTTCATACGTCACCTTGAACGGATTCTTGAACGATGTTCCTCCAACTGTAGTCACATATGGGCTAGGAACGAGAAGCAGTTTCAAGATTATGGCACTACAAATTACAACATTATGTTTTAAGATAAACTCCATCTGTGGCACCGAATCAAGCTTTTTAAACATATTAACAATCTAATGCGTAACACTAAAGCTTCCAGAAGTCCTGTCTTGTGCAGAAAAAGCACAGAAACTGCTTCATTCTCAGAAATTTGAGCTGATGTTTTACCTTGAGGCAGGAAAGCTGGGCCTGAAGGAGTTTTGTTCTTTGCCCATATGTCTGCATCCGGCACCGCTGTCACCTGAACATGACACAAGATCGGGGAGATTACAACTGATGTAACCGTCTTACTGACAACTGGCAGCCTTTCAGCCATTGTTGGAAGCTGTGGAAAAAAGCTGCAGGACAAAAGGTGTCATGTAAGCAGGTTTTCCAGGGCGACCGTGCCACGATGGGCGCCTTATTCAAAACAATAGCGGTGCGTTCATGTTTCATGCGAGCTTAAGATCCAACTGTAAGAACGGAGAACAGCCACAGTCAGGCGACAGGTTGCCAAGGAGACCAAGACTCTAATTTTTGTCACGCGATGAGCTCTTTTGATAAAATGACGGCGTAGTGTTCAGTATTTGTTGAACAACTGTCTTTTATCTTCAGTACCACTAAAAATAGAAATATCCTTTGAAATGGCATAATTAGATAAACCAGAAACAAGAGGCCACAGTCGTCGAATGTAACTTGAGCCAGAAGGTCACAAATGACGCTGAAATGACAAAACAACGAGCTGAAGCTGCCTCACAAACAGGAGCTTTGTTAGCTCAGTGACATATTTGCATATCTTGCTGATGCTATGTGACACCAGTGCAAGTCATTTGGATGAATTCTGCACGTTTGCCCCCATCACGAAACCTAGGAAGCAAAATGAGAAAACATAAAATGTGTTGACGGAGAGCTAATAAGATGGTGCTAACATGCTAAAGATGCTCTCCTTCAATTTAAGTTGTATGTTCATGTTTTAGCAAAGTGCAAAACTAAAACATGAACATTTGTAAAGAAATATATTCAAAATAACTGATATTCCAAAGTAATCCTGCCTTTTGTTTCTGTCATTCAAAAACCAAAAAGCCGTCTTCAGGTCGACAGAGAGCGACAGAGAGGTGTTCGTAAATGCAAACTGTGAAACTTCTGACCAGAAGCAAAGAGCAGAGAGATCCCCCTGACGCCGGCCTTCATGAACTCCGTGTTGATGCGCATCATGTAGGCTGTGGACAGGCTGTCTTCGTCGTCTCCGTAGCTGATGGTGTGAACCCAGGGCAGGTCGGACATGTTGCTGAGCAAAACCATCCACTGCAGGAAGGGCTCCTGGGACTCATGACGACCTGGAGGCAAATGGGAATAAGTATTAAAAGAAAAGAGGAAGACGTAAAATTAGAAATGTGCGTACAGCTGTCCAGGGAGCTGCTTAATGTAATGACTCTCTGTTTTCCCTCACTTGAACTGTAACTCGCTCAGCTGAGCACATTTACTGCAGCTGTTCTATGTTTACCATCTATTCTGTTGACCACGTGTTAGGACGAGCACGTCATTTACATCATTTACTTTTTCACAAACAGATGAGGTGTGACTCTTCGTCCCTTTGTGTGTCAAAGCTCTCCTCTCATTAACCTAAAAACAGAAAGTACACACACACAGCTAAAGCCGCTCTACGTACCTGGATTAGTGAAGACCCACGTGGAGATGTTTGCTCCGGTGCTCATGATGTACTCGACATCCAGACTGGCCTCCAGACCGGCCTTTCCTGCTCCCTGTGTGCCTACGACTCGATCCACCTGAGACATGTGCTGGAAGGTCCCGCCAAACATGTTCATGAACTCAGCCAAGTCGGCGGGGTGGTAGTACTGCTCCAGGAACTACAAGACAAAACAGCTAGCTAAAGTGAAAAAGTACATCAAGTTATATGCTTATATGCATAACAGCGACAGTAAATGTTCCATCCCAGGCTGATGATGTGAGGAGGTCGTACTTGAGCTACAGCCTGGCTGTTGTTCTGATTTGATCCCACGTCAGCTGCTGTCAAGTTATAGCGAGTCCTCAAGATGGCAGGAGTCACTCCGAGGTGCAGCCCCTCCTTATGTGGTTTCTGACCCAAGTCCTGTCCTTTAGGTGGGAGGCGATGAAGCCCTCCGACTGGGGAAGCACATTAACAAAAATTATTATGAATCCTTACCTAAACATAGAGAAATTATAAATGTCAGACACGCTATGGAAAGAGTGCTCACCGAAGTCAAGATGTTGGTGAACGTCATCGTGAACTGAGTACGGAGCTGAAGACCTCACTATAGAGTGGCCGTCCCTGATGTAACGGTGGAACCTACTTCCTGGAAGCAACGTCTCTGCAGCCCTGAGTGCACAAAACAAAACCACATAAAAGTTTAAAAATCCACTCACACATCATTAACATCCATCCATCCATCATCTCTCCACCTTAATCCTCACTGGGGTCATGGGAGGCTGGAGTCTATCCCAGCTGACTCAGGGTGAAGGCAGGTTCACCTGGACAGGTAACCAGTCTATCACAGGGCTACACTTAGAGACAGACAACCAAGCACACTCACATTCACACCTACGGACAATTTAGAATCACCAATTAACCTCAGCATGTTTTTGGAGGAAGCTGGAGAACCCGGAGAGAACCCACGCTGCACGGGGAGAACATGGAGACTCCACGCAGAAAGATCCCAGGTGTCCTCACCGGGACGCAAACCGGCGACCTTCTAGCTGCAAGGCGGCGGTGCTAACCACCGATCCACCTTGCAGCTCCATTAACATACAAACATGTGCAATTTCATGTGAGTTTGTTTAAAAACAACCGACTTGTTGGTAAAAGTGATGTATTGCGACTCCAGTTAAATTTAAATCCACTACTTTTACAGCTGTTTACTGTTAATACAACTATCAAGGTGCTACTTTTAATGAATTCCAACAACCTCGATGTAGATTTATGAATTCCAGCAGTCTGCAGCTCAGTGTTCCTCATTCAAACATTGATTTTTACCAACAACCACAGAATGAGGAAGTGTCTCACTGGGTACTAGCGTGGCCTTTTCACAGCACATACAGCAAAGGAGTAACTGTGTGCCGTAACTGTGTCAAGAGCAAGGGAGTCGAGTAAGCAGAACAAATGTCGCCAAAACAGATATGCTTACTCTGCAGTCATGGTGCACTGTAAAAAGTCCCAAGTGCGAACAGTCAGGCAGTTTGTAATCCCATGACTATGCAGCCAGTGACGCACCACCTTCTGGGTCAGCTCAGACGGACGCACAAGAGCGGCTACTTCCTCCAGGCTGAGGTGTTTACCTGTGGAGGACAAACACATGCCTCTGTCATGACAGAGAAGTGTCTCGTCTTATCAGTCGAGGCTATTTCAGTCCAAGCAATTTATCCCCTGTGATATGTGATAGGCTGCACATGAAGAAGGACAGAGGTGGAAGTCGGTGGTTATGCAAATCCTGCTGGGCATCTCAGCTCAACAAGTGATTATTTTAAAACCTACATTTTCAGGATTGCTTCAGAGCAGATAACACGTGTCAGACTACCGTATTGAGCCGAGTCAGGGTCCGACACCAGTCTGAGCTTCTCCTCCAGCAGGTGAACGTTCTGCTGCTTCAAGGCGAAGGTCAGCTCCAGCTGCTCCGTGGGATCGACCCGACCCACACGGGTCCAGTCCTGCGGTATCCTGGAGAAGGAGGGAGAAGACTTTACTGAAGCTCTCTGAAACATCAGGCTTACATGAGCTTTTTTGAAAGTATGCACCAATAATGGGCCAAAACTGGAAGGGTTCAAGTCCTCACAGCAGATACCACTTTTATAGATTTATAAATGGTTGTACACAAAGGTTTTATTGACTCCTTCATAGTTGAACTTTCAGACAGCTCTCTGTTGTTGATGACAGAGTTTCGTCAAATCAACACAATCATGGGTAAACTTCATGACACAGCAATAAAACAAATGCTTTAAAAAATGCAGGCTTGCTCACAAGACATCCTGGTCGTATTCCAGGTATCCACTCCAGACCAGCGAGCTGAACAGCACAGGGATGGAGAAGGCCAGTCTGTCAGGGACAAACAGGAAACACAGCTTGTAAACAACTTGTGAACAGCTGATGTGTTACTTCAGGGTCACAACAAAAGATGCGGCTCTTCTTCTGAGCCTCAATGTGACTTTGCTCAGTAGGTCAAATTAGGATTTAACGCATTTCTCACCCCGTAGACACACACACAGATAACCTTTACTCATCTCTACACTCCTCACATGTTGTTTACGGCAGCTTTAGCCTCACATGAACACTTTAACCTGCTCGGTTAGCAGCGGCAGCTATCTATCAATGTAGGTCATCGGCAGCGTTACAAAAACACCTCCCGCGCTACACTACAAGTCTCGTTACTCGTTACTCAGAGTTACTCGCTCGTTTCTGAGTTATCGCTGTTAGAAAAACACCCGACTGCGAACTTGTTTGCGGCACTCACAGCGGCTTCATGGTGTCCTCGGCTGCTCCAGTTTTCTGAACTCACCGTTTGTTGAGCTCTGCGTTACAGACGCAGGGGTCACGTGATGCGCCGAAGTCACGTGATCAGCGGCTCAGCGGTTTCTGTTTTCTTTTTTTTGTTTGTTTAATTTAATTTTATTCTGACTTTTGCTATGATATTCGAATACACTTTGAATTTGATAGTTTAAAAAAATGCTGTTCTTAAAAAAAAAAAAAAAAAAAAAAAAAACGAAAATACGGCTGTTTTTAACGGCTTTAACTACGAGAGTCATACAATCCGGGGGGGGAAGCCTATAATAAATCAGCTCAAATAAAATAAATGTTTAAATCACAAATTTATGAAGGAAAAATATATACAGCTGTTTAGATACACATTCGTAATTCTCAAATCATATGTAACAGCTTGAACTGGTCAAAAATATGACAAAACAAATGGACTGAGTTGGAAATTCAAACAGGACATTTGTGTTTTCTGTGATAAAGAAAGAAAAAAAAACCTTTATTGATCCGGCAGCAGGGACACTTTCAGTGTTACAGCAGCAGATAGAAAAAAAAACACAGTGCAGGGGAAAAAAGAGCAGCACAGAAGCATAAGAAGCATAAGTGTTTACAGAAAGTTTTCTATGAAATTGCACAGTGTCCTTATTTACATTATTATTGCAGTTAGTGGGTGGACTGAGCTGCTGGGAGCAGGTTGGATTGAACAGTCTGACTGCAGCAGGAAGGAAGGACCAGCAGTATCTCTCAGTCTGTCACTGAAGGAGCTGCCCAAGGATCTTACTGTTTCCTGCATGATAGACAAAAGCGTTGTCATCATCCTCCTTTCTCCCACCACCTCCACAGGATCAACGGGGCAGTCCAGGACAGAGCTGGCATTCTTAACCAGTTTGTTCTAAATTAGTTAGCTAATTTTTTTTTTCTTAAGTTATTTTTGTTGGGCCTTTATTTGACAGGACAGTAGAGAGAGAGACAGGAAAGTGGGGAGAAGAATGGGGGAGGGACCTGCAGCAAATGACCATGGGCTGGATTTGAACCCACAACTGCTGCATTGGGGACTACAGCACCAGTACGTGGCTCGCCAACTCAACCAGTTGAGCTATAGCAGCAGTCCATGGTCAGCTAATTTTTAAAAGTATATCATATATTAAGATTTTGATAAAACAGATTTTCTTCTTCCCTCTCTTTAATCGTCACATCATGATCTATCTGCTGTCCCTGCATATAAACTATACAAAACCTATATATATACTCATATACTGATAAAATAACCACAGAAGACAAGGAGACATCTAATTGGATTTCCCAGAGGTGCAGGGGCTTATTTGAAAGTAACCCAGTTGCTTCTAAATTCTTCACCAGAGATGCTTTTATGGCAGAAGTTCTTATGGGATTTTTTTTTCTTGTCATCTGTAGTTGTTTAAATGAAAGAAACTTTAATTCTCATCATACAAAACTGACACACACACCATAGCTGAGACTTTTTTGGGGGGGAAAGGTTTATTATGAAAAATTAATTACAGCTGACCGTGGGATCAGAGGTTCTAAACAAAAACTATTTACAGGGACGATCTGGTAGACGGCAGCTCAAGTCTACTGCCTAAAAAAATGCTTTTAAATTTACAACAAATCAAATTGTCTCAACACAAAAATGTGTTCAATTATAATACATAGCTCTGCCGGATGTGTTTAAAAAGCTTTAAATTAAATACTCTGGCACGTGTGTTTGTTTCACACTGATGCAGGAGAAAAATTTGCAACAGCAGTTTTTTTTATTGTGTACGTTTGGTGAGTTAAATGAAGAAAAAGCCTGTATTTCACTGTTGTACTGATTCATGGAAATAGTTTTAGGTGTTTATTTAAAAATGATTCCAGCTCGGACTCCAATCAGTCGTTGTCTGAGAAGTAGAAATCCTCGTCCTCTTCACTTTCAGATGGCGCTTCACCGTGTCCTGGGAACATCTCCCAAACGACAAAGGTATCGCTTTCTAGTTGAGGAAAAAAAAAAAAATAAAGCATTGAGTGCACAACAATAATTGTTTTCAGCTTTGCAATCTGTTCAGTTAGTTTTATTTTAAAACCTAATCCTTGTACAGAACTACAAACATCCTAGAATCAGTTTAAGCAGCTCTACTGGTGTCAGTGCAAACATTTAAAAACTTCTGATTTCTATTTGTTGTAGGAGTACAGTTTTTAAATTCTGAGATGTTCCTGCTCTCTATATAAGTGTAAATTCCCCTCCTGAACATTTTCAGGACACCTACCTGTGTTCACACATCTTTTCATTCTGCGTTTAACTGACGGTGTGGGTGTGAAGCTCTGAAACAAATATAGACAGAAGGTGTTTTACTCCAATTAGAAATTAAAATCTGCATGTGCTTAACATCACCAGAATGTTAGAGATGAACTCCAATCTCCTCAGAAGTCGATACCTTTGGAGGAGGCGAGCGCTTGCAGACGTTAAACCGACTTTTCTTCATCCTCTTCTGCAGCTGATACACGTACTTGTCGTCGTTCCTTTCAAATCAAGAAAGTGGTTATTTGTCTGTGATCGACTTTTACGAGTTAAAAACACACGAGTCGGCCTCAGCTACCTGTTTGGAGAACCCATCATGCCGGGAGTGATATGTGGACACTGAGGAGTCTTTGCTTCGGCGAGACACGACGACGTCGGCGTCGTGGGTTCCAGCTCCGTACAGTTGTGGTCATCGCTGGGGCACAAGGAGGGCATCTGCACACGGAGACAACACAACGGGTCGGTCACACACCTTGTATATAAAAATAAAACCTTTGTGAAACCAAAAAAAAACTGCAGGAGACGAACCTCAAACCGTTTATTCTGCATGTATGCTGAGCTGAAGACATCATCGACGTCTTCTTTGGGCATGTTCTCCAGGAACTGACGCACCTGCTGCTTCCTCCTTAAGGTTCCCACTCGGGCGGATATCAGAGGATTATCTGCAGCTGGACGCACATTCAAACATTAACTCAGTCTGACAAGCACAACATGTTATTGATCACTGGTTCACTGAAAAACTGGACTTCATAATCGTTTTATTCAACTTCATGTGACCTCTTCTAAATGTCATATCTTTGGACCAAACCTTTGAACATGAACATCACACAAACCAGTCCATTGTCTACATCCTAATGATGACCGTTCTCTACCTGGAGGTTTGGCTGCTTCCACCTTTTCCTTTTTGGGTTTCTTGGCATTTTTAGCTGGAGTCTGTGATGCTCCCTGGGACGTGTGCTGGTTGTGGCACTCCTCTGTAGAACGTGTTCCCACCATCCTCGCTACCTTTGCCCAGTAACCTGCCGTGTGTTTGGGATAGTAGGACACCGCCCTGGAAAACAGAACCACACACAGGCATGAACACATCCACCAAAGAACCACGAACCTGTAATTCTCCTTCTGTGAGAGCACCAAACTCACTCTTGTAGCTTCAGCAGCTCTTCGTCGGTCCATTCATCTCCATCCTGTTCATGTGGAGTAACTCTGCTGCTTTTGTCTGCCTTGTGTTTCCTGCCAGATTGTGCCGATTTAGGCAAAGGCTTCGTGGGTGGCGACTGGTTGGTGTATCTGCTCGGTTTGTGTTTAATTTGGGCCTCGTCGCTATGTTTTCTTATTCTGGTCCTCTTCTTGACTCCTCTCTCCTTGGGGGACGCTGACGACCGCTTTGACAAAGACGCGTGGTTCGGTGGTGACTTGGTTCGAACGTTTCCGCTTTTGCCCCGTTTCTTTCTCGTAGCGGAAAACTCATCATCAGAAGATGTGCGCTCATTGATCGGGGGAGTTTCTGGGGAACTTACGACAGCCATTTTCCTCCCTGACACTCTCACTGAAGACCCGTTGGTGTTGTGCGTTTGCTTTTTTGATCGTCGTGTTGAAGACTTTCCGAGTTCACTTTGATTTTGCGGGAGAGTGTCCCCTTTAGCTGGATACCTCTGGCTGGACCTTGTTCTACCACACCACTCCTCAGGACTGCCGAGTGTCTCTACAACAGGTTTAGGTGAGCTGGAGGGCTTCTGGTCAGGCTTCATATTGGCTCTGATACGATTTGGAGGCTTGGCCTTCCTGCGTAGCACTGATGCACCCTCGTTGTTGGCAGATTCGCTTTGCTTCCAGCCTTAGAACAAAGAGAACAGGTTGTCATTAGCGATGCACGATGTTAAAATTTCAGGCCGATACTGATATTTAGATTTTTGATATAACCGATATTATCGATGTCAATATTCAATTTTTGTTCACACCGAAAAATGAGTATCAGTAAGCACTGTGAGAACGTGAAAACTATTCAAAAGAAGTCCAAATTAGACCACATAGTGTTCTTTATTACGTAACAAAAGTAAAACATATTTAAACATATTTCAACATATTTAAGTCCAGGACCATTTAGGTAAAAACATCTGTGAAATAGCAGCGATATCAAATGTAGAGACGAAGGCGCTGATGTTAGACTAAATTTGTTCATCAGACCGATACTGACATATCAGAAAAACACACCAATATCGGCCGATACCGATGTGGACGCCGATATATCGTGCATCCCTAGTTGTCGTGCAGCTTTTTATCTCACAGGGTTAAACTACAGCTTCTTGGGCATCTTTACCTTCACTGCAGGGCAGAAACACGCTGACAGGTTTCTGTGACTTCCTCGCAGACGGCGTTGTAGTGACCTGTGAGAAATAGAAATAAGGCAGAAATATCAACTGTTTGTTCATCGAGAACGCTCTGTTACTCAGGTGGGCCCAGCTATAGGTGCTTACAGGTTTGCAGATGGAGGTGTCGTAACACTCGTGGATGGTGACGTTCATGAATGCGTCTAGAATGACTCTCCCGCCTTTCCAGTATTCCAGAGGTGGTTTGATCACCCGACCACTTCTAGACACTTTTGCACTGGAGGAGGAGTCGGGAGGACACGAATCAGCTGAAGGAGACGAGAAAATAAACACAAACATTACTTCAGATGCTATTACACGAGTCACACAAGCCCTACGTTGGTTGGACAAGTTCTCCTTCGTACTTACGTGTTCCCAAAGCTTGTTGCCTGTGTCGCTTCACAGTGCGGTTAATCGAAGCCTCAGGTTTTGCCTTCGCTGTGACGCCTCTCCCTTTGGTGTTCTTCTCCATTCCTCTGCGAGATCAAAACAAAATTTAGCTTAAAAAAACACTTCATTTCCCTTCTCACACCCCCGACAAAAACAACGGACATGACATGAATATTCTTACTCTCTCGGCTCTGACAGCAGCTTCTCATAAAGCTCCTTCCAGTTTGGAGGGAAACCATTCACAAACTTTTTCAAAAACCACTTGGGAAAGTCTGACGGCAAAAAGGAGAGAAAAAAAAATCTTAACCCATGTAACTCTACAGGCAGCTTTGCTTCGTGTTTTATGTATTTTTGCCAAAGTGCTGAACAGGTTTACCAGAGACGACATCTATTTTCATCTTCCCCACCAGAATGTAAACCCTCCCGGAGACGGTGTTCAGCACAGACGCAGAAATCCGGTCCACGATGATGTTACTGTTCCACGGGATGTTGTCCTCCCTACGAGGAAAAGGTGAGCGAAGAAAAACCACACAAAAGGTCAAAAAGGGCCTAAAAGTCTGGAATGAACCACAAAGGTGTCCGTGACGTATTTGAAAGTTAGTTCTAATTGTGTTCTTCTTGTCAAATATTCCTAATATATAAAATGATGACATCTCTACAAACACCTACCTGTGGATTCCATCAACAAACAGGCCTTTAGGATTCTTCCTCAGGAACCACTTTTTGAGATAAATCACACTTTCCTGCCAAAAGGAAAGAAAAAATCCCAATAAAGAAAAAACAACAACTTCTCTAACAGAAAACAAACTATCGCTGACTTCTGTTGCCCATATGATGAAATCAGTTGAATTTTCTGTGTTCAATCCCCACTAGACGTCACTCCACTCAAATTTCTACTCACACTTGGGAAATTTGCTTGCTTGGGCCATTTGTTGCGCTTGAACACGGCCTCGTTTTTCTTCGGTATGGAGACGTGCGGAGAATTCAACACAAGTGGGTCCTCGAGCAGAACAGGCTGTGGTGCTACCGCGAGGTTTGAGGCGTCCTCTGAGGGATCCGTGTCTGACTGACTGTCAGGCGAGTCCACTTGGTACTGGTGTGAAGGAACTACACTTTCTGGAGCACTTCTCTCCTCCATCTCGCCCACGCTGTGAGCTGTGGAGAGAGGAGCGTCTCTGGACTGATGGAAATTACCTACAGACAAAAAAAAGCCTCACTGTAAACAAAGCCATGTTGTGCAGCGTGGCACGGGAAAAAACTCAACAACAACTATGTCTGAAATAACACAACAATAAGCTTTCTGCATTTGTCTTCGCACTTCATTACACACTCACCACCATTGAAGAGGTCCCTTCTGCTGCTGGTACAAACTTCCTGTGGTTCCTTTTTACTTTCCCTCTCCTTCATGTAAGCAAACATCTTTGCTGGGGACATTGCAGGAAGCCTTCCAATAATAGCACCACAACCTGCTCAGAAACAGGATATGAATTTAAAAAAGAGTCAATTTCTTCCTCTTAATCAGTGGTTCTCAAACTTTTTGAGCCACGACCCCCAAGATAACATAAGTTTGTGACCCCCAATTTGAATTTTTAATATCTCATGAGTAATAACTTTGTTGTTAATGAATTAATGCATCAAAAATTAATGTGTTAACTCCACAGATTAATCTCTTTAGATTAACACTTTAATTTTCTTTTGAATGAATGAATTGAATTTATTTCAAACAAATGAAAGGGAAAAAACGAAAACAAAAGAAAATAATCTAAAAAAAGAGCAAAAAAAAGAATAATAATAATAATATCACATAATCAAATCATAATATTAACAAGTCTGAAAAAGCAGTGGGAAACAGTATACACTTTTAATTTTGACAGCCCTAATACACATTTATTTAATAAAAGTAGTCTTTATTTTTATTTTTTACAAATGACCTGGCGACCTCCTGAAATTGTCTTGGGACCCCCATGGGGGCCCCGACCCCCAGTTTGAGAACCACTACTCTAAATGATGACAGAAGGGAAAAAGACAAATAACTTACGTTTCTCTGTGATGGATCTTGGCGGTGGGAGCGTAGGGTCATGGATCATCCCTGACAGATCTTCAGAGGATCTTCTAACGTAACCCAGGTCCTGGGTCTTGTCGTGGACGTTGTCCTCACTGAGAGCAGATGCTGTCCTGCCTGGGGGCTGACTTAGAACTTTACTGCTCACCTCCTCAGTCCTGTTAAAGACTTTCTTAAACTCCTGCTGGTCCAGTTTTCTCTTCCTCAGCCTTTTCCTCATGGGGGAGAACATACTGGCTAGAGACATGGGTGTGTTGAGAGGAGCACATCCTTCTCCAGATGTTCCACAGTCACTCGCTGGCTGCGTCTTTACTGGAGTCCTGCTGCACAAAGCATCCGAGGTCCTGATCTCAGGTAGCTCTTGGTGGATCCGGTTTCTGTTGACCGGAAAGAAGGGCTGAGACATAGTCGTTGACTCCAGAAAAGCTCTCTCTCTTCGCCTGTGTCCCATCTCGTCCTCTGGAGGCGTCTCCTCCAACGGTTTGCTGCTGATGTCTGAATATAAACACCCGAATGTTTTCTGTGGACTCGATATGGGCGACAGAGTCAGTGCCTGCGCTTCACTGCGATAAGAACCGAACCTGTGGTTCTCCTTGAGCTCATCAGAGGCCCAGTTGCTCTCCGTTTTCTTGCTGGGTGTATTGAACTCGGCTCCGTGTTTCTCTCTGACGGTACACAGCAGATCCTCGCTGGTGAAAATCCCCTCCTTTGCGGACATCGCTTCTCTCTGCACTTTGGATTTTAGTTTCGCAAACACCTTGGCAGGAGATTCAAACCGCGGCGTTTGATGTTGTAATACATGATGATAGGACGCCATGGTTCGGGCGAAAAGTTTACTAGTTGTTATGCATCCGAGGCGTGAGCTAGCAGCTAGCAGCTAGCCCGCAAATTTCAAATTTCTCATCACTGCCGCCTTTGGCTGGAAACTGGTGACGTACTTCCACAACAAGTGCGTCACTTCCTCCCTTCTTCTTCTTCTTCTTCTTCTTCTGTTGTTATTTTTCGTTCTTGCTCAAAAGACACACGAAAAGAAATAAGTAGAAGAAGGAAAGTGATTCGTAAAAAATTAAAATAAAGCAAAGTTAAAAACAAACAAACAAACAAAAAAAACCCCACACACATTACACAAAATATACGAAAATAAGATACAGATAAAAAATAAACAGTAAAGATAATAAACAGATGTGAGGAACATATTTTTGTTCTTTGCTTTTGCTTTTTCGGTCCTTTACTTCTTCTTAAAGATAAACTTTATTGATCTCTCTCCGTGGAATTTCACACAGACACAAGCAGAAGGGTAGAAGTAAAAGATAAAAAATTAAGCAAAAACAAAAGCCAAGACAAACAATACAAAACACAGAATAAAGTTTTTTTTTAACTATTGTAAAGATAATTAAGACTATACATAGTACGTACAATTGCCTATATACAGATATGACAAACAAATGTCCTTTTACTCACTACTTGTTTGACATACTGCACGTGTAAGCATGATAGAGGTAATACATGTTTTCATCAGGGGAGGGCAGTAAAACATGAAGGAGCCTCTAAACTACCAAAATGTGTTCAAGAAGAAGAAGGAGCTTACTGCGCATGTGCAGATTCGCATTACAGTCAAACTTCCGGAGTCGGGTTGTTGTTTTGCTGGTTGTCAGTCTGTCTGAGTGGTAACAGTAAACGGAAAAGGTTGTTTTATTTTTGTATATATATTGACAGTCGACTGTCACAACTGGAACGACTTTTTTTGTTTTTTTTACTGAACAAACATCTGGATATAAAGTGTTGTCGCCGGTTTACAAACTCCGCGGTGACCGGACTGATGCAACATGGCAGCAACTGCTGTCACCAGGTGTCTGCTGTCAGCACTCAGGACTCGGTGTCAGAGCCGCGGACTGAGCTCTGTGGCAGAGAGGACAGTCAGCCGAGGGTCCTCTGGGGTGGTGTGTAACCACAGGGAGCCAGAAGGGGACACAAGCCTGGACAGGAGAGCTGCTGCTGGGGACAGAGGAGGTGGTCGGGACGGCAGCAGCAGCAGCTCCCCGCTGGTGAAGTCGGTGTCGCTGGGTTTGGGTCTGTGTGCTGCGGCGGTTCTGGACAGTCAGAAAGAGGACAAAAGAGTCTCGGTGTCAGGACGGTGTCTTGAATTAATCCTGCCTTCAGCTCAGTGTGCTTCCCCCTTTAAACCCGACAGCCCCCGGTACAGATACAACTTTATTGCAGATGTGGTCGAAAAATCCACTCCAGCGGTGGTTTACATCGAGATCGTGGGCAGGTGAGCTGATTATTAATTCATCAGGTAGTACACTGTAAATAATAAATATATGTATACTGTCATAGAGGGCAGAAACCAGCACATATTCACATGCAGGGAGCAGGAACTCGATCATGTAGACACCTCAAACAGAAGATGAGTTTATCAGAATGCTTAATTTAAACATGACATTTAATTAAGACATTGATTAATCATCTTAGCAATACACCTCAGTCATGTCATACTTGATTAATGTCACCAACAGCAGTTCCCTCACTGCTATTTAACAGCTGCTGATCACAAGTTGTCCCCCATCATATTAACAATAAGCACTCAAGGACACTTTTTAGTTCTTCTGCCAAGTCAGCGTGGCAGACGCTGACAGCACTTGGATTTGACAGGAGAAGCAAAAAGCAAGCTGGACTGTACTGGCAGCCAAGCGAAGTACAGGTCGCACACATTCAGGCCTTGTATTTATGGTAAATGGGAAATGGACTGCACTCATACAGCACTTTTCTATTTTACCAGTGCTTTACAATGTGTTTCTCATTCACACACACATTCACACACCAATGGCCACAGAGCTGCCATGCCAGGTGCTGCCTGCCATTGGGAGCAACGTCAGGTTCAGTGTCTTGCCCAAGGACACTTCAACTGTGGAGGGGATTGAACCGCCAACCTTACGATCAGAGGACAACCTGCTCTACCACCTGAGTAACAACTTGCTTGTGGTGACATAGTTTACTTTGTGGGGGTGTACATCAAATGATGTGGTCGGGCTCTAAACAGGATTCTTCTCACCAGCTCTTGGGAAAGCTGTCTGTTAAATATAGATAATATCTGTTTTCCTCTTAATAAAAAAAACCCAAATGGTGGTTTTCTCAACTCAGCTCAGCTTTTTCCAGCCTTAATGAAATCTGCTGCTGTTACTGTTTTACAGACACCCGTTTTCAGGAAGAGAAGTTCCGGTGTCCAACGGCTCTGGTTTTATCATCAGCAGCGACGGTCTCATCGTCACCAACGCCCACGTCGTGGCCAACAAGAGAGGCGTCCGTGTGAAGCTCACCAACGGAGACACGTACCACGCCTCTGTGCAGGATGTGGATCCGGTGGCAGATATCGCCACCATCAAAATCACTGCAAGGGTGAGCAACAAAAAAAATAAAACATACAATAATGTTGGACAATGAAATGTACGTCTGTGTTTGTTTGTCTTATGAAGAGGTGACCGAAGCTCAGAGACTCAGATTATGATTGAATCTGAAAAGAAAACCGAAGTAAATAAAATCAGATGATCGATGATAACATTCGGATGCAAAAATTTTTTTTGAGAATATACATTTGCATTTTTTTTTACTATGATATGATATAATTTTATATCTTTTTTTGTGTATTTCTATATAATTATTGATTTTGTGCGACAGTGATAAAACAAGTTCCCCTGTGGATCAATAAAGTTGATGTAAGTCTGTCTAAAAAAAGAAAAAAAAATGGTTTCAGGTCATATCATGCAGGGAGCCTGTGATGGGATCAAAACCAGCAACGTTGTTATTGGATTTGAATGAATCAGTGTTCAAACTTCATTCTTGGGATTATATTATTGTGATCTTAGGATTCTTCAGTGTGTGTTGTCAGGAGGATAAATCTGTTTGATGAGAAAATAAAGCAGTGTTAAGATCCAGAACTTCACATGCATCAGAAAACTCAGCCTCTGTTTCATCGGTGAGACAGTCGCTGCTAAACCTCCTGTTCCCTCTGTGGAAAACAACTGCATCTTTCATGGTTATTAAATGAGAATAACAAGACTGTGAGCTTCATCAGAAGTCTTGTGTTCTTCTAATTTGAACCAGTCCTGTTGTAGAAAAAGTTATGGTTGACCCGACGTCTTTATAAGAAGTAGGCCACTAAAGGCATACAGGCCATAACAGCGAGAAAAGTGGGACACAGATGAAATAGAAGCTCTCATTTATCGCTGCTCTGTGTTTCCTCCCCTGCCATGCAGAATCCTTTACCCACGCTCACGCTCGGCCAGTCGTCTGGCGTCCGACAGGGAGAGTTTGTGGTGGCCATGGGGAGCCCGTTCGCTTTGCGGAACACGATAACATCAGGGATTGTGAGCTCGGTGCAGAGAGGCAGCAAGGAGCTGGGTCTGTCGAACCCCAACATGGAGTACATCCAGACGGACGCTGCCATCGATGTGAGTGTTCCACAGCCTTTTGTTTCCGTTTGGGCTTTTTGCTGTGACGCAGAAATGGCTCATGTGTCTCTTAACGTCACGTATGACTGATTTGTTTTGCAGTTTGGAAACTCTGGAGGTCCCCTGATTAATTTGGTGAGTCACACAAGTGCTTATTCAAGTGTGTGTTTATGCAGAACCGTAGTGTGGCAGGAAAACAACTGGAATGAACTGGTTGTCTGCAGAAATGGTCATAAAATGTGATCTGAGGTGAAGCCTGGGATTCCATACCTGGACCTTAGCTTGATAATGACAAACCAGTGGACAAGAACAACACATGATTCATTAGTTAAACTAGATTGTTCATAGGTGTAATGTTGCTGAAGATCTTACCGTGTTTTAAGGTGCAGACCATTAACTTATGTCTCCTTCTAACAGGACGGTGAAGTCATCGGTATAAACACCATGAAAGTAACAGCAGGGATCTCCTTTGCAATCCCATCCGATCACGTCAAAACGTTTCTTGAGCAAGCAGCAAAAAAAAGGAGTAAGAGCACACCAAGCATCACCTTTTTCCATTAGTCTCTTGTTTAGAGTGTCTCACACATCCTGTCCTGCTTCTCTAAGGTTCCTGGTTTGGCGAATCGGCAGCAAAGCAGCGGTACATCGGCGTTATGATGCTGACGCTGACATCGAGGTAAAGGCTTCGTCATCATTAATGCCTGAATAGTCAGAGTCAGAAGCTTTTTATTGCCAAGTGAGCTCACACACAAGGAATGTGGCGTGGGGAATGGTACACAACAATAACAAGACAGGAATAAATCTAGAAATCTAGATCAAAGAAATTCTAAATAAAATAGGTAAAAGAAAAGTATAAAAGTATTACGTGAGTAAAAAGTGCTGTGAAAAGAGACATAAACCAAGTAATAAGTTAGTTTAAATTATAATATTGCACAGTCAGAGGAGTCTTTAGTGGTTTACTGACTGTTCATGAGGGAAGAAGCTGCTCCGGTGCCGGGATGTTCTGGTGCTTAGAGACCTGAAGCGCCGGCCGGAGGGCAGCAGGTCAAAGAGGAACCTCGTGACAGCAGGGGGCAGTGTTGTGTTTCAAACCAGCCGGGTTTCTGTTTTGTGTCTTCAGCATCATCACTGAGTTGAAGTTGAGAGACTCGTCGTTTCCTGACGTGACACACGGCATCCTGATCCACCGAGTCATCATGGGCTCCCCGGCCGACAGGTGAGCTGAGCTGCCATGTGGGGAATCGATAACGGATGGTTTACTGTCATGTTTCAGACTAATGAGGTGCTGCATTTAACCTCATGCATGTTTGCAGATACATGACAGGCTGCTGTCTCACAGACGGTGCAGGACATGTTTACCATACACATGCATGACAGATGTTTCTGTTTTATGCTACATGTAGCTGCATCAAATCAAAACTCTGACACTTGCTTACAAAACCACAATGAGAACAGCTCCCTGCTACCTGAACCCTCTCATTCAGGTCTACACTCCCTCTGCTCACTAACTCGTTTAACAAAAGCCTCCTGATCCAACCACCACAACAGGGCCCGAGGTTGACAGCTAGACTCTTCTCCTCTGTGGTGGAACGAGTAATAGCTGTCATAGATATGGTCTCTCACAACATCCATCCATCATCTCTACACCTTAATCCTCACCAGGGTCATGGGGGGTGGAGTCTATCCCAGCTGACTCAGGGTGAAGGCAGGTTCACCTGGACAGGTAACCAGTCTATCACAGGGCTACACTTAGAGACAGACAACCAAGCACACTCACATTCACACCTACGGACAATTTACAATCACCAATTAACCTCAGCATGTTTCTGGACTGTGGGAGGAAGCCGGAGAACCCGGAGAGAACCCACGCTGCACGGGGAGAACATGGAGACTCCACGCAGGAAGATCTCAGGTGTCGTCACTGGGATGCGACCTGCGACGGTGCTAACCACTGAGCCACCTTGCAGCCCGACATTGTTGATGTAGTGGTCAAAATAAGTAGCATTCACTTCTGTTCGTGATCTTGTTCCAGAGCTGGCATGCTGCCAGGAGACGTGGTGGTGGAGATCAACGGGGTCAAGGTGAACACGTCGGAGGAGATCTACCAGGCAGTCCGCAGCAGCGACAGCATCACGATGGTGGTGCAGAGAAGAAACGAGTTGCTCCGACTGCAGATGACTCCTGAATACACGGAGTAATCCCACGATTTGCTAACTTCCTGTTAGCCCGATGGACAGAAAACCACGTTGTTGGTTCACGTACAAGAGACAAGAGAACGGTGAAACCAAACAGCGACTGTGGTCAAATCTGTATGCAGCCGAGTAAAGACTTAACGAAGCTGCGGTTTTTGATTACTTTTGTTCATGTGAAGGAAAGTGGAGCTACAGTTATGCTTCTACAGTGTCGGTATTTCACTTCCTGTCTCTGAACGTCCTCTTCACTTGGCTGAAGGCTGTTAACTCGTCACATTTTCAGTTTGATTCATCAGAAATCTGCCAACGTCTGAATGATGAGTCCAGTGTTCCTCTGTGGTTATCTACCTCTGCAAAAGGCTTCGTTACTGTAATGATTTGCCCAAAAACGCAGCATTTGTGAAATAAAACTTAACACAACCTGAAGCCGTGTACTTTAGTAAAGCCATTTAATGTTAGACAGCAAAAAGAAGCATGAGAGACCCAACACTATGGCAAGGAACAATGGTATTAAACTGACTACCATCAGGTGAGCAAAGTTGTTGGACAAGTCACAAATGTTACTACGATGACGATGATTACACGAGTAAAATATGAATCGATGAGACTTATTGACTGCTCCGAGTATGTCACGCACAGTAAAGACCAGAACCATGAATTCACTTCATGTAAGAGGAAACTGCCGACTCTGCATGATGACGAGTACATAAAAAAAAAAGAAAGTGACGAGGTTACTGCCGAGATTTCATTGAGAGCTTTGAAGCCGTACAGAGTAAGTTCAGATTTCCCTGGTATATGTACAGTAACACACACACTTACAGTAAAGTAATATAGTGACATGTACTGGACTGCTACACAATTAAATGTATTTACCTCAAAGACTGATAGCTATTAAATCGAGATAACATTTAAACCACGTCAGGTTTAAACAATATGTTCATACTTCTGGACTAAAGACATCTTGTTAGGTACGAGTACTACAACATACAAGTATGGGACAAGTATGGGAGGAAAAATAAAATTGTTCAAATCCCATTAAAACTACTTTAAAAAGGCTTAATATATATTGCTGGTAATATTTTTCTTTTTAAGAAAATATAAATTGTGCGACTGAAGCTTACAATACACTGCTGGCAGTAGCGCCAGGTTCTGTGGTGACCTGCTGGAAAAGGGTCATCTGTCGAGGCGCTGTGTGCTGACAAACTCCCTGGAGGAGGAGAGGAAAAAACAAACTGGAAAAAAAAACAAAAAACAACTGGACATCTCATGATGCCTGAATAATCCCTTGCGCTGAAACCCGGATGCTGCTATGGTGTTTGTCACCTTGGAATGCTGCAGATATCACGTGATGTGCACAAACAGCAGCCAAACTATAGTCGAACTCATACAGATACATAAATAAGGGG